TGTTTTACACCTGAGACATCGCTGAATACAAATATGTGTATTTTATTGCAGTAAAAGCAAACAGTATTGTGACATTCACAGTTAAAATGTCACATAGAATTAAGAACATTTTAAAAAGATCTTATTTTCTCTAATTTTTTTTTTACATTTTATTCATATTAAATTATGTTCCATACCTAAATATTTGATGTTAAATGAATGCCCAGATTCCCATGAATAAAATGATATATAATAAGTGTGGGTGCATTTAATATGAAAGAGGTAAATTACTGTTGAACAGACATATAGTAAAATTCTGTGGTTTGTTTACTTTTTTTTTGGATCACAACTTTTACATTTGGCTGCGGTCTTAAGGGGTTAAAACTCCAATATAAGCAGCAGATTAGCAGCAAAACAATTAGAATGTTTACAACTGCGCAGTAAGCGCACTATTAGACGCTTCTATTTAACGCTCAGATATAAAGTGCACCGCAGGCCGCAAATGTACTATTTAGCAGATTAGCAGCAAAACAATTAGAATGTTTACAACAGCGCAGTAAGCACACTATGAGACGCTTCTATTTGACTCTCAGATATGAAGAACAGGCCCCAAAATGTACTATTTAGCAGATTAGCACCCAGAAAATTAGAATGTTTACCACTGTGCAGTAAGCGCACTATTTGACGCTTCTATTTGACTCTCAGATATGAAGTGCACCGCAGGCCGCAAATGTACTATTTAGCAGATTAGCAGCAAAACAATTAGAATGTTTACAACTGCGCTGTAACTGCAGTATTAGGCGCTTCTATTTGACTCTCAGATATGAAGAACAGGCCCCAAAATGTACTATTTAGCAGATTAGCACCCAGAAAATAAGAATGTTTACCACTGCGCTGTAAGCACACTATTAGAAATTTCGATTTGACTCTCAGATATGAAGTGCAACCCACTAAAATACTATTTAGTAGTTTAGGACCCAAAAAATTTTTACGTTTTAAAACTGCAATGTGACAGCAGTATTTGACGATTCTATTTTACTCTCAGATATGAAGTGCACCCCACTAATGAACTACCCCACTAATGTACTATTTCACACCCAAAAAAAATTACTTTTTAAAACTCCGATGTAACCGCGGTATTTGAAGCTTCTATTTGACTCTCAGGTATGAAGTGCACCCCACCCCACTAATGTACCAGTTTGCAGAATTCTTTCCTAAGCTGTCCCTATCAGCGGCAGCATCCTCTCCCTACACTAATAAGACCGCATGTGCGTACGCGACTCCAGCTTATATATAGAGGGTGGGTCACATGCTGCACTGGCCAATCACAGCCATGCCATTAGTAGGCATGGCTGTGATAGCTTCTAAGGGCACAAGAGTCAAACGCTTGTTGATTGGCTGCCCTGCAGCCTTTCAAAACACGCCATTAAAACGCCGAACTCCAACCCGACATACAGTGATATGTCAGTGTTCGGGTCCGGGTCCAAAAAACCTAATGTTCGGTACGAACCCGAACTTTACAGTTCGGGTTCACTCAACTCTAGTCGTACAGTTTAGTTTTTTTTGTATAGTTTTTTGTTAGGTGCATGTTTAAACTTGGGACTCCACTAAATATGATTCTTGGGATGTCAGCAATAATACTTTTTAATACTTCATCTTCTTTTAATATGTGCCAATATTTCTTAATCACTTTTTTTTTATTTTTGTTCCTTATTGTTGTAGTCCAATACTATGGAAAAAAATTTAATCATTCTTCTTTTTATGGATGAAATTAGAACGTTCACAATTAATAAGATTTTATCTGTCAAGTTTTTCTGTTACATTTATGGTTTTATCTAAAGACTCTGAATTATACCCCTTTTTAATTATTATTTTTTTCCATCTTATAAGCTTGTTCATTGAAAATAGGTAATTCAGAGAAGTCTTAGAATTTGACTCTTTGGTATGCTTTCCAACCATACTTTATTGTGAACGCTTTTTGTACTAATATAACTTTTTACATGGACTGTTTTAAAATGAGTCTTAGTTGGAATTTTATTGTCCTTGATATAAATGTCTAAATCCATAAAGGTCACATTCACGTAACTAAAATCAGTGGTTAATATTATCCCATCTTCAATCCTATTTAAAAAAATATATAAAATCATGAACTACAGAAATAGGATCATTCCAAATAAAAAGAAGGTCATCGATACATCTAAAATATCCAACCAGGTTTGCACCCAGCCATGTCCACTCCATATTAATCTTTCCTCCAATTCTATCATGAAGAGGTTGGCATAACTGGGTGCAAACCTGGTTCCCTTAAAGGTACCATTCCTATAAATTTAGAAAGAATCATAAAACCAAAAATAGTTATTTAAAATAATTTCTATACTTTCTATGATAAAACTTATATGTATTAGTTGCATGTTATCATCATTTTCTAAAATTGTTTTCACAGCATGGCAACCTTCCTTGTAATTTGACTCATAACACTCTGATTGGTTACTTAACCCCTTAAGGACCGAGGACGGTTCAGGACCGTCATCGGCATTTTTGCCTTGCCGACCGATGACGGTCCTGAACCGTCGGTGGGGCTACTACAATCGCCGTTCCCCGGAACCACGGTATTCCCTCGATTTATTGGGGAACTGCCTGCGAAGCGGGTGGAATACGGAATGCAGACACCTAATGTGATCGCTGCAGATCACGCCAATTACAACAGAATAAACGTGTCTTACAGGGACTTCCTGTACTGGCGGCAGTCTCCATAACACAATAAAAAATCAGAAAAATTAAGTTAATACGGTAAATAGTATGGCGGTATATGTATAAATGATACCACTGAATATATTATATATATAATATATAAATACCTTCATATAATGCCACTTCAGGTAACCATTTTTATATTAATATACTTATATTAATATAAAAGAAATACACTTATAATAAATACGCATATATAATATATATAATAACTATATATATTGTATATATATATTATTATAAAATATAACTAATAAGTAATTTAAATTAAATAATTTTTTTTAAAAATAATAATAAAAAAAAAAAAAAAAATTATATAGCTATATGAAATTTTATTCTAACTGTATTTTAAAATTAATATATATATATTTATATCAAAATACACTTAGAATGAATTTGTATATATATCTATGTATATAAAAATAAATAAAAATAATAAGAAATATACATACGTCCATATACAAAATTACATAAATAATTATATAAATATACACGTAGACTTCAAATATATAAATATGCATATATATTTAAATTCTACGTGCGTATTTATGTAATATTTTTACATAATTCAGTAATTTTATTGATTGCAATTTGAGGACCTGCCTGCCAACCCAGGCGAAATTCCAGAGAATTTAATTTGCTAGCACTGTATTTTACCCTGTAACGTTCTCGACACCCTAAAACCTGTACATGGGGGGTACTGTTTTACTCGGGAGACTTCGCTGAACACAAATATTAGTGATTCACAACAGTAAAACATATCACAGCGATGATATTGTCAGTGAAAGTTACTTTTTTTGCATTTTTCACACACAAACAGCACTTTTACTGATGATATAATTGTTGTGATACGTTTTCCAGTTTTTAAACACTAATATTTGTGTTCAGCGATGTCTCCCGAGTAAAACAGTACCCCCCATGTACAGGTTTTATAGCATTTTTGAAAGTTACAAGGTCAAATATATGGGTCAAATATTTTTTACATTGAAAATGGCCAGGTTGGTTACGTTGCCTTTGAGAGCGTATGGTAGCCCAGGAATGAGAATTACCCCCATGATGGCATACCATTTGCAAAAGAAGACAACCCAAGGTATTGCAAATGGGGTATGTCCAGTCTTTTTTAGTAACCACTTGGTCACAAACACTGGCCAAAATTAGCGTTCAATTTAGTTTTTTTACTTTTTTCACACACAAACAAATATGAATGCTTACTTTGGCCAGTGTTTTCGACTAAGTGGCTACTTTAAAGACTGGACATACCCCATCTTGAATACCCTGGGTTGTCTACTTTAAAAATAAATATGTACATGTGGGGTGTTATTCAGAGATTTATGACAGATAATAGTGTTACAATGTCACTATTGATAAATTTTAAAAATGTATGTTTTGAAACCGCAATATCCTACTTGTACCTATAGCCTATAACATGCAAAAAAAAGCAAAAAAGCACGTAAACACTAGGTATTTTTAAACTCAGGACAAAATTTTGAATCTATTTAGCAGTTTTTTTCATTCGCTTTTGTAGATGAGTAAAAGATTTTTCAAGTAAAAGTCAAAAAACATGTATTTTTTTCAATTTTTCATCAGATTTTTGTATTTTTTTAAAATTAAAATACATGAGATTATATAAATAATGGTATGTAAAGAAAGCCCATTTTGTCCTGAAAAAACAATATATAATTTGTATGGGAACAGTAAATGAGAAAGCGGAAAATTACAGCCAAACACAAACACCACAAAAGTGTAAAAATATTCCTGGTCGCAAATGTACAACATCGCAAAAACAGTCCAGTCCTTAAGGGGTTAATCCACCAATCAGAGTGCTCGGTGTCATTTTACACAGCATGGGAAATTTCAAAGAACTTTCCCACGCTGTGTAAAATGACACAGAGCACTCTGATTGGCTGGATTTCACGCTAAACAATCAGAGTGCTCTGTGTCATTTTACACAGCGTGGGGAAATTCCAAAGAACTTTCCCACGCTGTGTAAAATGACACAGAGCACTCCGATTGGTGGATTAAGTAACCAATCAGAGTGTTATGAGTCAAATTACACAGCGTTGGAAAATTCCAAAGAACTTTCCCACGCTGTGTAAAATGACACAGAGCACTCTGATTGGTGGATTTCAAGCCAACCAATCAGAGTGCTATGACAGGTAAATGTAGAGACTTACCTGTCAGTCTCTTCATTTACCTGTCAGAGTACTCTGATTGGATGGCTTAAACACACCAATCAGAGTGCTCTGAGCCTAATTGCAGAGCGGGGCAAGGCTTTATAAGCCTTCCCCCGCCCTGCAGTGCTCAGTCTGCGCGAAGCCCTCCATAGGTGGAAATGGATTATTATTTTTAGCGGTCATTTTTATTTTTCATTATGTTTTTTTTATGTGGCCTTTTGTTTTTTGTTTTTTTACATGTATTTAGATAAGGGTCCCTCATTATTTTTAGGATGAGGAGAGTAGGCAGGGGTAATTTTTTTTGGGGTAGGGGGTGACTAGGGGTGTGGGAACCCTAGTCACCTGGGGGGGTAAATTTTTATTTAGGGCCCCCTCCCGCCGCTCAGGGCTGGGGGCCGGGGGGGGAGGACATTAGGTCCCCCCCCCTTATTGTTATTTAGGGCCCCCACCCACCGCGCAGGGGTGGGGGCCAGGGGAAGGACATTAGGTCCCCCCTTATTCTTATTTATGGCCCCCACCCACTGCTCAGGGGTGGGGGCAGGGGGAGGACATTAGCTCCTGTTTAATAGACATTCCCCTACTAGCTGGGTCACATGCTGTGATGGCTTCTAAGGGCATACGAGTCAAACGCTTGTTGATTGGCTGCCCTGCAGCCTTTCAAAACACGCCATTAAATCGTGGAACACCGAACTCCATCCCGAACATACAGTGATATGTCTGTGTTCGGGTCTGGGGTCCAAAAACCGTAATGTTCGGTACGGTTCGCTCAACTCTACTCATGTCTGTTTTTTGCTGTTGATCCCAAATAAGGCAAAACCCCCAGAAGGCTATCAGATTTATTGTTGGATCAAGAAGCTTCATTTTCAATTATGTGCTTGTTTTTCAAAAAATTTGGGAATCTGTGCAACTTTGCTTTAATTGTTGAAATTTCCCTTTGAGTAGTGGATGTAACCATTCACATCCATAGGCTTAACATTGTGTGCCAATAGAACTATTTTCAGCATAAATAATTTAACCCCTTAAGGACATGTCATGATTCCCTTTTATTCCAGAAGTTTGGTCCTTAAGGGGTTAATGAAGAAAGGTTTATACCTGCACCACTGCTTCTGCTTTGCAAACTACAAGCTTTTTTCACTCACTAATATACACAGAATGTGGCTTCACAAGTGAACCCTGCATACGAGTGCAAGTATGGCATGTCTTTTTTTTAAAACTATTTGTAGAAGAAATAAATATTCTAAAATGTGGTGGTGGTGCTGGTGGTCATCCCCCTATTCACCCACCTAATTAAAATAAATAAATAAATTAATTACTACTGCTGCTCACCCTTTTTCAAATGCCTTTCATTGTGGTTTCGCCCTACCTGCCTGACTGTCTTTCAGTGCTTGTTACCTCCATAGACACAGTAAATAGAAACTGCTAGATCATTGTTGTTTTACACTGAAGGATGGTCAGTTCTTTTTCTAAGATATAAGTAAGTGGATATGGGCAAATTCTCAGACATTGTAGCAGCCAAAGAGGATTTTAATATGGCTGACCCTATAGCGCACTGGTAAGCCAGGAGATGAAGAAAAATATGACACATTGGTTAATTAAAGTTTTTTTTTTTCATATTAGCACTGTATAGTTTAATCTATAAAAAAAAAAAAAAAAACATTTTCAAATTAGTGAAAAGAGAACCTTACCATATTGTCGTACTTCCACATGACCGAATAGTATTATGTTTTGGATGCTTTTTTATACCGTATCTTCTCTCCGTCTTTCTTAAACAATAAACATAAAATTACAACAAAAAAAGAGAGAGAAAATAAAAAGAGAAATTAAAAATGGGAGAACTACTGCTATTTGACAGAATACTAATTAACATTGTATCATAATATTTCTAATGTTTTTCCTGTAGGCATGAATAGCTTATTTCAATCTCTTGCTTCCAATGAAATGGTCAGCAATTCCCTTTGTCATCTGGATCTCTCAGAAAATTCAGGTATCCTTGCTACAGAAGAGTCCATTGTGAGTTGAAAAAAAATATTCTGAATAATTAAAAAAAATACTTGTCAAGTATTCACATTTTATTATTGCAAAACACTGCAGAATATGTTGGTGCTATATAAATGCTAATAATATTAATAATAATAATAATACTAATAATAATATTATTAACAATAATCATGTGTAATATTAAAAAAAAGAACTGGAGAAAAATGTGAAGAAAGGGTTAACACAAGTAATGGGTAATTTTTAATGATTTTTTTAATGTGAATATGTGAATATTAAATATCTCAGTGCTAAGCATAAGTTAAAAAAATTATTTGGATAAAAATTTCCATTCATGAAAAAATGTGATTGAAACACCTGTCTGAACGGATAGACACTCTCTCACCATGCTCAATACTTTTTCAAAATTTGTTCCCTTGACCAACCTTGTAAACAAGTCCTCTATATACTTTATATTATCTTTGTTTGGCAGTTATAGTTTTGGATTTATACATTTTTGTTATTTTTACTTATTAGTGTACAGGAATCATCTAAAAACATGTATTTTTTTTTTTCAGAGTTTATATAATTTTCTTGGCCATTGCAACTCATTGTGTTTCTTAAATCTGTCTGGCACTGACTGTGCTCTGGAATCTGTAAGTACTTATGAGAGAACATATTCTATAAATATTTTTTACATTGTATGAGGAATATTTAAAAATTATACATTTTTTTTCTTCAACAGCTTTTTGGGCCCTTGCTTCGAAGCTGCTGTTCCAGTCTTTCCTACCTGAATATTTCAAGAAATGTATATTCTAATAGGTAGGTAATATCACAGATTTATACTATATAAATTACATGGTTCATTGTATCAGAAGTTCTGCCATCTTTAATACAATCCACCATAAATGCAAGGTCAATATTGATATTTCTATTAGGGTTATTCACAAAGCACATATTTCATTCAAATGGAAAAAATCCAGTGAAAATAATTTAATTCCAACAGCAATGGCAATTTTTACATTTACTGAAGCCAAATATGGTCGTATTTTGGTCAGATCAAGTGAATCTGGAGCAATCACTGGATACATTTGTTGTCCAGATTAAAATCAGTGTTTTCGCATTAAAACTCTACAAAAAGGATAAGATTCTAAAGATTCATAAAGCACCAATATTAAAGGAACACTATAGTCACCCAGACCACGTCAGCTCAATGAAGTGGTCTGGGTGCCAGGTCCCTCAGGTTTTAACCCTTCAGATGTAAACATAGCAGTTTCAGAGAAACTGCTATGTTTACATTTGGGGTTAATCCAGCCTCTAGTGGCTGTCTTCCGGACAGCCACTAGAGGCGCATCTGTGACACTGGGGGCAAATTTCTCCTCCATCGCGCAGAGCGTCCATAGGAAAGCATTGAGAAATGTCCCATATGGAATCTGTTGATGCCACTCCCCCAACTTAGGAGTCACAGCCCCAAGTGCTCCTATCACAACTGGGACTACAAACTGCCTTCACTTTCCACATCCTTTCTAGTTCTTCTTTCAGTCATTGGTATTTATCCACCTTCTCATGTTCCTTCTTCCTGATGTTATTGTCACTGGGTATTGCCACATCCACCACGACTGCAGTCTCCTGTTCCTTGTCTATCACCACGATGTTGGGTTAGTTGGCAAGCACTTGCTTGTCTGTTTGGATCTTGAAGTCCCACAGGATCTTAGCCCTGTCATTCTCAACTACCCTTTGTGGTATCTCCCATCTGGACTTAGGCAAGTCCAATCCATATTCTGTGCAGATGTTTCGTTACACAATCCCAGCAACTTGGTTGTGTCTCTCCATGTATGCTGTTCCTGCTAACATCTTGCATCCGACTACTAGGTGCTGGACTATCTCAGAGGTCTCTTTTTACAGTCTGCATATTGGGTCTTGCCTGGTGTGGTAGACTCCAGCTTCTATTGATCTGGTGCTGAGTGCCTGTTCCTGTGCTGCTATGATTAGTGCCTCAGTGCTGTCTTTCAGTCCTGCTTTTTCCAACCACTGGTAGGTTTTTGTCATGTGAGCCGCATCCACTATCTGCCGGTGGTACACCCCATGGAGAAGTTTGTCTTGTCAAGGAACCTCCTCTTTTTCTGCATCCTTTATCTGTTGAAGTCTCAGGCATTCCCTTAGCAATTTATCATTGGGAGCCATCTTCATGACATACTTGTGGATGCTCTGTGTTTCATCCAGGACTGTGGACTTGACACTTCCTTCCGGCAGGTGTACAATCTCTGGGTGCTGGATTTTGGGTGGAATCCTACATTCATAGTGAGTAGTTTCCTGGTCTTGGCATCCATGGTTACCAGTTCTTCTCTTGGCCAGGTTATTATTCCAGCTGGGTACCTGATGACCGGTAGGGCATATGTGTTGATGGCTTGGATGTTGTTCTTGCCATTGAGCTGGGACTTCAGGACCTGTCTGACTCTTTGGAGGTACTTCGATGTTGCTATCCTTCTTGTCTCTTCCTCATGGTTGCCATGCATTTGTGGTACCCCCAGGTTCTTGTATCTGTTCTCTACATCTTCTCTTTGGCCTAATGGAACTTCAACTCATTCTGTCCTAATCATCTTCCCTTTTTTTGCTATCATCCTCCTGCACTTCTCTAGTCCGAACGAGATTCCAATGTCCTTGCTGTATATCCTTGTTTAGTGGATCAGTGAGTCAATGTCCCGCTCATTCTTGGCATACAGCTTGATGTCATCCATGTAGAGTAGGTGGCTGATGGTAGCTCCACTCTTGAACCTCTATCTGTATCCACTATTCTTTATGATATGGCTAAGGGGGTTGAGGCCTATGCAGAACACCATTGGGGTTAGGACATCACCTCGGTATATGCCACATTTGATGTTCACTTGAATTATTGTCCTGGAGGTCAAGGTCAACAAAATAATATGAGCCTTCATCAAGAACTCGATGTTCAAGTGGAAAACAACACTAGAAAAAAATGTATATGTATATATATTTCTTGAGCCCTCCATCTGTTGTGTCCTGGTTGTTATTTGTCCCAGCCCTCGATCTGCTGTGTCCTGGTTGTTATTTGACTCCAGCCAACATATGTGATCCCTGACAAAGTGCACCTGGAAAACTTGGTAAGCATTTTTAGAAAGAAATATGCTTTATTGTACATTTTCAGGTAAATCAAGTCAATGTTTCAGTCCATTGCTTGACTTTTTCAAGACTTTATTTGGTTTGTGTGTGTGTACGTGCTCTTTTTTTTGTCAATCTCTTTTTAAAATTTTTATATTAAGGTACATGATACGGCAAATGGAGTTATTGCAAACATACATCTGAGCTGTACAAGAGTAGGACGATATCACGTTTATATATATATTTATTTATTTTGTTACAGAAAGCTTAAAGATGTACCGCCTACAATCACAAAGTTTTTCAGAAAGACTTCTGCCCTCAGACATCTAGAGCTGTCAGGAACTAAAATTCCACCAGAAGCTTTAAGGTAATGTGTGATTCTTAGTTATGTCAAACATTTATAGCATTTTTAAAGATGCTATATATTTAGATCATTTCCTTGGGATTCATGGGTGTTAAAAAAAAGTATTAATTTTGTAATAATAGAATGCACTTACAAACACAAAAATCAATGCGTGTATTTCCACTACAAGTGGAATATCAGGAAGAACCAGGTCACCAACTTGAAAAAAATTGCCAAGAAGAACAATAAAAACAAATAAAAAACATAGAACAATAAAATCAAAGAAGAGTCAAAGTAAAACACATCTAAATTCAATTAGTCCAGATTGGATTTCTTCAGTGATCTATGTTTTTTATTTGTTTATACTTTATTATGTGGGCATTACTGCTGTTCTTGTCTATTGGTTTTTCACGTTGTGTTTTCTTGGGGTGTTTTGTAAAGGTAAAAATAACAAAGTTTTTGTTTTAATTTCACTCATATTTTAGTGTTTCTTGTTTTGGGTTATATAATGCTTTGTATTTACCCAAAATATATTGGCATAATCATATCCCATCTGAGGTGCCATTTTTAGTAAACTAAACAGATTTAAATTTGTTAACTTTTCCTAATAACTTAAATGTTCCATTCCTTTTATTAATTTTGGAGCCCACATCTTCACGTTTTCTAGTGACATAGTATCCTTCTTTAGAACAGGTGCCCCAAATTGCACACCATATTCAAGGTGACAAGGAGACAAAATTATATTTTCATCCCAAGAATCAATACCACATTTTATACAGGACAATACCCTACTGTCCGTAGCAATTGCTTGTTAACATTGAACATTGTTGCCTAGCTTGTCTGTTAATCCATCCATTGTTCAGCGCTACGGAATTTGCTGGCGCTATATAAATAATAAAATAATAATAACAATTCCCAAATCCTTCTCATGTGTTGTTATCCATAATTCACTACCATTTAGGGTGTAAGTTGCCTGTGCATTTCTTCCCCCCCGAAGGAAATCCCCACTGCAATCCTAATTGCAATAATCACATTGGGCAGCACACAAATCTTTTTGACAAATAGTTACATTTTTAGTATATATGATTATTCCAGAATATATGTAAGGAAATAGTATACTATGGTAGAACACATCCACAACAAGTAAATAGCTAATTATTAAAAGAATAATATTTTGTATAAAACAGAGAGACAAAACACACTCACATTTCCCTTACTTCGTGGTAAAATAAAAGCTCATTTTATTTTGATTTACTTGGAATTATTCACACAACATTTTCTTGTAAAAATGCAAAATTTTAAAGTTTATATTTATCATGGGTTTTAAATTGAAATTGTACCACTTTTAATGTTGAAAAATATGTTTTTCCTGTATTGTAGAGCAATGTTTCGAGGATTATCCAAGAATGATATTATCAATGATCTTCATATGGATCTTAGAGACTGTGAGGTACAATTTTAATATTATCCTATAACATACCATCTGAAATATTTGGAGGACCACAGTACGTTTTTTCCCACACACCTATTGTATACATTTTCACATCTTGTTAGACAGTGAAACCTGTGAGTTATTTCATAGAGATCATCCTTGAACATGCTGGAAGATGGCTATTATATAACAAATAGAGAAGTATATTTGAAAGCAAATTTGTAAAAAGGGCAAATTTAGAAAATGACATTATAGCTAAAATAAATGCCCTTATTCATAACCTCATACCTGCCCCCTCCCCTCAACAATAGTAAAGGGGCAATGCAATAAAGACCTGTAAAAAAAAAAATATATATATATATATACATATATATATATATATATACTTGCCATCAGAAGTCTTTCTTCTTAAATCTTCTTTTTCTTCAGCCCCACAAAATGTCCAAATAAAACACAACTCACAATGCTACTAATAAAATAAAAAAGCACCAAATCACAAAAGAACACATAGAAAATATAAAAAATGTGATGCAACAAATAGATCTATGTGAGAGTCCAACACACAATGAGTTTTCAAGGTGAGAGAAACCTTTGTAAAGGCTTTCGCACTCTTTCAATCTCAGTGGAGTGCCTTAATTGGTTGACTTGTAAGGCAACCAGTCAGAAGGTTCTGACCAGCAATTCTTCTCTTGAGACTTGCCAGGGAATGTTTACATGGCAAGTCTTGTGAAAGATGAGAGCTGCCTCTCAGAGCACTCTGACATGATAATTTGCAAACATGCATAATACTGGATGCATTCGGTCTCCATTTTTTTTTTTAAATTGGTGTTTAATAAATATTGTGAATCCTTTAATTTTGTATAGGTTCAGATGTGAAAAGCCAAATCTGCACCAATCGACCAAATGCATTTGGTGTGGATTCAGCTTTTCACATCTGAACCTATACAAAATTAAAGGATTCACAATATTTACTAAACACCAATTTAAAAAAAAATGGAATTCGTCTGGAATTAGTTTTAAGAAATATAAGCACTGCTATTCCGGTTAGAATTCTCTTATTATTTTTATAATATACCGTAAATGTATTGCAATGTGGAATAACAAACTAATTGATACTTCTAAATAATTGATACATTTTTCAACCAGCACTGGGCTAAAAGTAAAAATAAAATCTCCTTGTTGCCATTCAGATCCATCACAGTGTAACCACCTTCCAGGCTGATTATTTTGGGATCCTAGTGGCACCTCTGGCTTCAGAGAATTCTCCAGCTCTCTGACCAGAGAATGAGTATCTCCTCATGGCTACACTAGAGCCAAAATTGTTTATATTCAATTAAAGCATGAGGTGTCTTCAATTCAAACTAGGCTCATGCCATACTTTTTTTTTTTTTGCATGATGAGCCAGTGTTGCACTCTAATCATTAAACAATGTTAAGTTATGGAGATTTAACAACCAAAAACTCAGAATTATCTTTCTAAATATTATTGCATCTGCCAGTAGGTTAAAGAGTGAGCATCGGTGTTATATTGTTAATTATTTTCTTTTCCTATCTTTAGTATTGTATAAAATAGTATACTGTGCATGTCTTTGTAACAAATAAAATATATTATTTTATTGTAGCTACGATCAGCGGGTGCCCAAGTGATACAAGACATGATTTTTGATGTAAACTCACTCAGTAGCGTGGATATATCTTCTAATGGTATGTACACTGTACCCAGAAGTTAAAGGTAATGCTGTGAGTATCTTTTAGTCTAACTCTAGTTGTATTCTCTATATTTTGTATGGCTGTTTTGTGTGGGATAGGTTATTTAATATTATACTCACAGTATTGTACCCACATCTTTGTGGTAGACCATTTACACAGAATCTAGCCCTGTCATGTTAGCACCATATACCATTACAGCGGAACTAGGGGCTTAGGTTTAGAAAGTGTCAATTAAGGGGGCTCAGAGAGTACCCACTTTAAGATGATGTGGACTGTAACTTCCATCACTCTCAGCCAGACAAATCATGTCCATTATATATACTCTGGCTATACCACCAAAAGATCAACATGACTAATTACATGGGCCTATAATTAGTCATACAATTGGCTTTATGGACCAAACATGTTCACCACAATATTAAGGCAAAACAAGAACAGTGAATCTCACCAATTCTAAAAGGTGAAAGGCATGTTTTTCCACTTATTTTCTAATATTTGAGTCAATATAATTACAAAAATAATGGCCCTTTGCAATAAAAAGTACTTTAAATATGCATGTTTGTAATGTTTCTTTACTAGCTCATAGCATGCTTGTTTTCGTCACTGCATTAATTGCATTTTTGTTTTTTATACTGTTATATGCTGATAATATTGAAAGCTATTAACATGCAGGGTTCGATTCGGAAATGGTAACCTTGATACTGTCGATCGGGAGAAGCAAATCCTTAACTCATGTGGCTTTGGGAAAAAACTTTAATGTGAAGTCCAAGTGAGTACTGGCAATGTTCAATCAAAGAACAACTATTTCATCTAATCCAAGAACAAGCATTTGTATTTAAGCTTTCAGCTATTTTCTTATTTGTTTCCCTTTATTCTTCCTGTTTTGCCAATCTAATAGCTTTAACTTTCCAGTAGTATCGAACATGATGACACCACTGATATATACCTTATTTCTTCTTTATTTTAACTTGTAACCTCTCAATTTACCTTTTAAGTTGTTTCTCAAATTGCCTGTAAAGATGTATTGTACTGCGTAGTAACGTTGTAATTTAGGTTGGAATTTTGGCTAGGGCTACATAAAAAAAAGTGAATTAACTCCTAAATGGTAGATAATTGAACAGTGACACTCCCAAAGCATGATCTATACACCAAAACCACTCCACTATGCTAAAGTTGTTTTGGTTCTTTGAGTGCCTTTTTAATCACTTTATTTTCATGGTATATCAAAGTGTCCATCAGCCTGGAATGAAGGAAACACCACATAGATAAATCAACAGGCTTTCAGAGTATATCAGCTAATACAGATTGTATTTTTAAAATATTGTATTTTAAAATTGTAAAATCTAACAACCTTTGGACATCCACACCACATGTGAAAGAATAAACCCCCATAACCACATCCACTCCAGTGCACCTCTGTTGGGACTGCCTTTATAAAATATAAATTGACAGGTTGACCACCTTGATCAACTTGTAAGCATTTTCTACGCTAGTTCCTGTAACACAATGCAGATGGACACCTTAGAGATTTACTCCCATATAGCTTTCCAATCCGCTACATCTAGGGTTCTTCCAAGTCCCTCTCATTTCATGCAATGTAAGACAAGGGTATGTCCCTTAGTCCCAGTAACATAAATG